CACTTTCAGCTGCTCCAGCTGACAGATGTGTTTCATTCACCAACAACATCCACACCAGCAGGTTTGTGAGAGGACGCATGAAAAGCAGAGTTTCAACGATAGATGGAAAACATGTTTGTTCAGTTGTCACAGCTTAAACCGACTCCTGGTCCTCTCTATCACCTGTTTCTGGGTATTATTCAGTGGAGCTTTCAGTTGAGGAACTTTCAGGTGTTCCCACCTGTCTTTCTGTTCTGGTTAAAGAGCTGAGTACACATAGTGGTCAAAGTTGTTCATAATATTTCTTAGTTTCATGTTTACTGCTGACTTCCTGCCAAATAAAGAAAGGCTTGTTCACAACACATCGGCAACCCCCCTGCTGTGACACTCAATCCTCTTAGAAAAGAGAACCAATGAAAGTTTGATTTTTAAAATAAAAATTGTTAAATTATTTTCTGTTTATTTCAGTTTTCTTTCTTCCTTTATAATCTGATCCCCCCTCAGACTGATCAGGTAACCCTGATCGGTGGAGCTTTGCCTCACCTGCTGTATTCCTGGGATTATCCTATGACCCTGTGCTGGGCCCTGGCCCTCAGCTTGGAAACCACTGGCCAGAACCATGAGACTGAGCAATAATGATGGAGGTGAATATAATCTCTGATAATCTCTGTTTATTTTGATCATACCTGTGTATTTTTGGCATTGAATGCAGTGTGTGTGTGTGTGCAGCCTCAGGTCTGATGGCACCTGATGTCAGGGAGTGGGTCAGACAGGCAGGGGGCGGAGCCCTGGCTCACCTGGGAAATTACTGTGCTGTGAAGAGCTGAGGGCGAGCCGCAGACATGAGATCAGTCACTTCTTCTTCTCTTCCTCCTCCTCCTCCTCCTCCTCCTCTCAGGCAGCACGTGTGCAGGAACCTCACATCATATGAAACATGGACCAAACTCTGCAGCTGATCGTTCATATTTACAGTTTCAGTGTAGGAAGGAATAATCAATCAAACTTTATTAGTCCAACACCTGACTGACAAGCCCAAACCCAGACTGCTGCACAGCACCAGACACACAAATTAATAAGAATTTGATATGACGTCATTTTTAGAGCCGCACCAAATTCATGGAGAGCTCAGATTATTATTTGCTGCTCTGTTAGT